TAGAGACAAAGGAAAACAACGCTTACTTAATGAGATTGAGTAAATAGATGGCGGAACAGGGTTTAGAAGAAATAACAAAAGACAAATAATTATTAAGAGCTAAGAAGAAAGGAAATTGTGGAGAGTCATGATTGCCAACGTCCTGAAGAGAGAAGGTACGTAGAAGAAGAAGAAGCTTGAGTAAATAGATAACAGAGCAAGAATGATCTTGAGCCAATGGCTGAAGAATGATCTTTATTAAGAGCCAATGGCTTCGACCTGAACAAAGACAGAACAAGGTTTACGTGAGATAACAAAAATGAAGACAAAAATGGATGGCGGAACAAGGTTTATTAAGAGCTACAAAGGACTGGAAATTGTGGAGAGCCATGATCGCCAACGACCTGGACGAAGACGGTACATAGAAGAAGAAGGAGGTTGAGTAAATAGATAACAGGGCAAGGTTTACGTGAATTAACAAAAAAGGCAAAATTTATTAAGAGCTACAAAGGACAGGAAATTGTGGAGGGCCATGATCGCCAACGTCCTAAAGGGACACAGCACATACGACAAGAAGAACGAGCTTGTGTAAATGGATGGTGGAACAGGGTTTGGGAGAGATAACAAAAAGATAAAGTTTATTAAGAGCTACAAAGGACAGGAAATTGTGGAGAGCCATGATCTCCTATGTCCTGAGCGTAACGGCTCATAAAGAAAAAGAAGAATTACTATTATTGGCCTGCTTATTCGTGGACACACGCCCGTCAAACCCTGTTTCAAACACATTGAGTTTCTTGTGTCTTCAACACAGCGCACTTTTTGTTTATACTATATCGAGCGTATCTGAGTTACAGTTTCTGACGGGATCAACTGTTTGAACATGACTTGCCCTGAACGTGGTGAGATTCGAACCCGGGTCTTATGGTTGGAATGTGAACTTTCTATCAATAAGTTAGCAAAAGAGACAACTAAAAATTAGGGGAGTATAGGGGAGGGCAAAATCGAAAAGGTGCAGAATAATAATTATATGCGTAATATAGTAACAGACGATAGAAAATGAGGCAGAGAAATCTGGAAGCGCATAGGAGCAGGGAAAGATGTCTTCCGAAAACTAAGCAAAATATTAAGACAACGGAAAATATCTTTAGAAACAAAATAAAGTTATATCTAACCTCCGATATGGTAATCAATGTTGAATAATTTTTGGTCTTTACCTGGCATAAATCACTTTGCAACTGCAGTAATATAGGCTTTCTAAATAGTTTCATGATAACTGTTCTGGTTTTCATTTTTCCTCCATCTATGGATTAAATAGCAAACCAGACTAATTTTGCTTTCCTTAGGTGACAACTCGTCTACTCTTAAGTGAAACTTGGGGATTGTTGTTTGGAGAATTTGTGGCACACCATCTCCCTGTTATCAGATCATCCAAAAAGTGTGGCTGGTTCTACACAAACCATTACCACTAGAATTAAATCATTTGTCGGTAAACTGAGCTGATAGGCTCTCATATATCGAAATCGACGGAAGAGTCCATTATATACTCCAGCATTTTACAGGCTCAAAATAGCTTTACTTATATTTTATATTAATCACATGAGTTTCTGCCTAGGGCTCCAAGAAAAGTAGGGTACCACAGATGTCCTTGCCCAGACTAATATATCGGTTTCAACTCATTTTTTTTTTCTCGAGTTCTTAAAATATCCTTTTCTGCCATGTTCGGTATTTCTTTTGCATAATTCTAGTTGTTTATTTTTAGCTGTTTACTTTTAGTTGTTTGCTTTGTAGTTGGTCACTTTTAGATGTTTACTTTTTATGTTTTTTCTTTACTTTTTAGTTGTTTACTTTTTAGTTTTTTTATTTATTTTTAATTGTTTACTTTGAGTTGTTCTCTTAGCTGGTTTACTTTTTAGTCGTTTACCTTTAGTTGTTTACTTTTAGTTGTTTACTTTTTAGTTTACTTTTAGTAGCTAACTTTTTGGTTCTTTACTTTTTACTTTTCACTTTTAGTTGTTTACTTTTTAGTTGTTTATTTTTTAGTTTACTTCTTAGTTATTTACTTTTAGTGGTTTCACTTTTTAGTTTGTTTTACTTTTAGTTGTTCCCCTTTAGTTGTTTACTTTTTAGTTATGTTTACTTATTAGTTGTTTACTTCTTAGTTATTTACTTTAGTTGTTTCACGTTTTAGTTTTGTTTACTTTTAGTTTGTTTACTTTTTAGCTGTTTAGTTTTTTGTTTACTTTTTAGTTTTTGTTTACTTTTTAGTTTTTTGCTTACTTTTAGTTGTTTACGTTTAGTAGCTTACTTTTAGTTGTTTACGTTTAGTAGCTTACTTTTAGTTGTTTACTTTTTAGTTGTTTACGTGTACTTGTTTACTTTTAGTTATTTAGTAAACTTTACCTAGTCTGGCACAAGGTCGCAATATTAAAAGCTTCGTTTGATTAACAAAGTCGCTTGAGTTTCGCGAATTTCCAAAAATCGTCATGTACCTTATTTATTTCTGTCAATGTGCAAGATTTTCGCTTCAAGGAGAATTAAAAATTGTTATCTATTTTATGTTGTTGTCGCGACTGGCTCAGAAAATTTTAATATTGGCGCAATATAATCTTTTAAACCCTTTGCTTATTTGTTCCTATTAACTCTTAGCGGATAAAAAAAAAATCTAAATTAGAATTAAATTTCAGTTTTCTTACTTATTTTAAAACCATAATTTTGAAGTTTGTTGGTTGATTTTGTTTAGCGGCATATCAACAATTCTGGGTTATTTAATGCTGAAATCTAAATAGTTTCAATGCTATTATATGCTTTTAACTGCAGATATATTGTTGGTCATTTTACTATAAATGTGAATTGTTAGTAAATTTTTTTATATAAAAATGTATTTTTATACTTTCATAGTCATTTTTGGTGGGGTTCACTATTTGCCCATAGCCGGGACCCTAACAGATGCTACCCACCGGGCCATGGTGGACCTGGGAACAACGGCAATTAAAAGCTTCCTCAACACCTCCAATCTTCCAATCAGAAGTCTTGCTACCGGACGTAGTTTGTCGTCATACCCAGAACTATATTTTTGAAGTAAAAAGATGTTTCTATATATGTTTCCCTGTGGTTCCTTATCATCCACTGACATCAGTTTTTCTAATTTGAAAAGTCAATGTTTTCACACAGATTGTAAAATCACGTAAGCGACTTGGAAGTTCAAATCTAAAACTGTTTTTTCTTATTCCTCTTAATTAAATCCAAACAAATTGTAAAAATGGAGAAACTAGAGTCGAATGTGTCAGGATGAAAATTTGAAATGATTATTCCATTTCAAGCAGCCATCCTTTTTGGTTTAAGTCTTTCTTGTTAAAACAGTTTTTTGTAAAACAGTTTTTTGTAAAACAGTTTTGGAGTAAGATAGTTTTTGGCCAACAGTCTTTAAGTTAAAAAAAACAGTTTTAGTACAACAGTTATTTGATATAGCAGTTTTTCGTAAAACAGTTGTGATAAAACAGTTTTTGTAAAAACAATTTTTGTAAAAACAGTTGTGGAGTAATACAGTTGTTTGGCAAACAGTCTTTGATTTAAGAAACAGTTTCAGTACAACAGTTATTAGATATAGCATTTTTTGGTAAAACAGTTTTTGGTAAAACAGTTTTTTGGTAAAACAGTTTTTTGTAAAAAGTAGTTTTGGAGTAAGACATTTTTCGTCAGTCATTAAGTTAAAAACAGTTTTAGTACAACAGTCTTTGATATAGCAGTTTTTATCAAAACAGTTTTTTGTAAAACATTTTTGGTCGAACAGTTTTTTAAAGTAATAAATGTTAAAATTGTTCAAATAAATCCACACTTAAAAATCGCTTCGTAGCATGTTAAAAAGTTTCTTGTTAAATTTTAAAATTACGGTTATTAAAAGGAATTAAAATTAAGATATTTCTTGAGATTTTGATGCTTTAATTAGAAACATAGTTATTTTAAATTTTCCCATCGATATAACGTTTATTAAATTCTATCTTCACTTAGTTAATGCAGCCAAAATAAGTGCGTTTTGAAAAGATCTGACAAAAATTATAGCAACGCGTAATACAAAATGGCGGTCATTTCTTCCGATGTTCTGTAATTTTTCTTCTTGTTTTCGTTTCCTGTTCTAAATTAGAAATTCATCAAAATCTAATTTTGTTTCATCATTTGTTCAGTTAGCGCATTTTACGACGCTCTGATCACCCTTCCCGCTGTTTTAATTGTGGTTCATGATGACATTCAAGTGAAAATAGTGCAATGGCGAGAAGGTTCCTTTTGCACCGAGGAAGTTGAGGTTACCCCGTCCTTTCTCTCAGAAGTTCCTCCGCCCACTGGTAAAGCATTTAACCTCTGAGGTTCAGATCCTATGCCCAGGCTGGCGACTGGTCGCGTCTAGAAACCTTTCCGACTGCCCTCACACAGTTTAGTTGGCAGGTCGATGTCGTTGACCGTGGTATGGCCGTCGGAGTGTCCATACCATGTGTAACAATTGGATGTAAGCCTTGGCCAGTAGAGTTCCGTATCCTAATTCACCTGAGTAAATCACTGTCGATCGCTTTAATGCAAAGGCACTACCACCGACGACACACCCAGTAATTTTGTTTACCCAACAAATGCTGATAAGGTAAAGGAAATTTATTTTAATCGGAACAATATTAATGAAAGCAGTTCATAAAATGACATACGGTGGTTAGTAATGGTTAATATGCTAGACTCGTTGACCATTACTAATACAGAGAGTTTGATCCTCACCGAGTGGCTATATTTTTAGTCTTGGATAAAACTAGCTTTAGTTGCACCGGAAACTATTCCAGTTACTCACAAATTGAAAAGCGCATGCGCAAACATGTGGCAAACGGTTCAACCTCAGTTCAATGATTCTGTTTATAAAGGAAGAGAAAACACATCAGTTGATTGTTGTTCAGCATTTGTAACGTTCAGCCTTTTCAGAAAGAAAGGACGAAACATTTCACGGAAAATTATGACAGCCATTCATTTTTGATTCTTTGAGAATCTTAGGAAAATGGATGGAACTGAACAGAGATGTTGCCTGAAAATGTATCGAAAGGAAAAGGAGGATGAAAAATTAAAAGATCAGTTAGGGTCAAATAGAATGAAAAGGGGAAAGAAAAAATGTTAATAAAGGCAATTGAAAAAAGAAAGAAAGAAAGAAAGAAAGAATAACTGGATTAGAAAACAGAAAGAAACAAAGAAACAAAGAAACAAAGAAACAAACAAACAAACAAACAAACAAACAAACTAGAATTCGGAGTAACAACCAGAGAGAAAGGAAGGAAAGAAAGAAAGAAAGAAAGAAAGAAAGAAAGAAAGAAAGAAACAAGCAAAAAGCTTAGAAAAAAACAAAGAAAGGAAGAAAAAGCATGAGGAAAAATCAACAATAAAGAAAGAAAGTAAGAAGCAAACAACTGAAAGAAAGACAAGGGACAAAGAAATAAATAACGAAAGAAAAAGATTGAGGAATCACCAACGACAAAGAAAGAAAGAAACGAACAAACAAACAAACAAAAAGCTGAGAGAAAGATAGAAAGATAAAGAATGAAAAAAGAAAGAAAGAAAGACGCAAAGAATGAAAAACTGAAAAGGAATGAAAAAAGAATGAAAGAATGAAGAAGACTGAAAAAGAAAGAAAGAAAATGGAAAGAAAGAATGAAAAAGAATAAAAAAGAAAGAAAGAATGAAAGAATGAAAGAATGAAAAAGAATGACAAATGAAAAAAGAAAAAGAAAGTAAAAGAAAGAAAGAAAAACGGAGAAAAAGAATGAATTATACGAGAGACAAAGAAAGAAAGAAAGATAGATAGATAGAAAGAAAGACGGAGAAAAGAATGAATTGTACAAAGAAAGACAGAAAGAATAAAAGAATGAAAAAAAAAGAAAGATTCGTATAAAAAAAATGAATGAAAACGAGAAAAGCAAGAAAGAACGATGATATGACAGATAGATAGCGATTGTCCCTAGACTCGAAAAAGTTAAAATGGCAGCGTTCGGGCAAGCAACTTGTTCCACAAAGTAGGAAAGAATCTTTTTGAACAGAATATCTGTCTTGCCAAAAGAATCCGTAGGAAATGAGGCTGATTCAATCACGTGGATGTAACAAGGCGGACTTTAACTGTGAACGAACATATCCATTAACGACCTCAATTAATTTTATGTACTTTTTAAAATTAAAATTTAAAATTAATTTATACATAGATATATATATATATATATATATATATATATATATATATATATATATATGTGTGTGTGTGTGTGTGTGTGTGTGTGTGTGTATATATATATATTTTTGATCTGGAGTGGTTAATCTTCCATAATATTAAAATGTTCAAAAAATGATTATTTCTGGTCGTAGCATGTATTGTAATATGGCCGAGTGCTTAGCACACTCACTTTACCATCTGGGTTCGAGTCTCATCTTATACGATTTATCAAGAAGGTGACCGTCTTGATGTTATCGGCCTGGGAAGGTGACCCCAGCGTACCTTTGGAAACTGTCTGAAAACCATACCAGGGGATAACCCATGCCTTGTGAGTAAAATTGGTTTGATGGTTGTGCTAGCACGAAGTCGCAAGTCATCATGACCGAGGGTTTGAGTGAACTGATTGTTGATGACGCCAAATAATATTCTCTCAGATGTGTAAGTAAGCTCCCCACTCAGCATACACCCTTGTAAAAATTAATTGAAAAAACCGCTTTAGTTTCCTTTCTTTCACCATACGCTCAGTTTTAGACCCACTGGAATGACAGGGTGTAATCGATTTCTATTTTTTTCCTCGGATTAGGTCATTTGAAGTAATGTACAGTAATAGGAATCTATTTTCGGGGCGTATAATGAAATTTGTTTAGCTTGGAAAATATTGCGTCATCCGTGAGTGCATCAGATTTTCATCACGCCCATACACTATTGTCTCAACTGTTGATTAGTTGTCCTATGGTCATTGTCTGCGATGGACGTTATTCCAAGGAGGTACACGAAAATTTTAACGCTACACGAACACAATGGCAAGTCTTGCCAGGGAGCAAATCAAAGTATTATAGCTTGGCCTGGAAACTCTCCTGATTTAAATCCAATCGAGAATCTGTGGTCAATCTGCAAGAATTGTGGAAGAATTGTGCATACGATGTACTAGCACGTGCGCTGGGTCATGTTTCATTGGAAAAATACGAAAATAGTAAATAATAAGGGAATTATTCATTTTATTTCACTTAATTTTCACATGGGTGTAGTTTCAGTATAAACAACAGATGGACTCTGTGGGTGTTGAACAAACATAAATTTGCCTGAGCTGGTGTCTGAAAAAGGGATTGACTAACCGCCATAATAGACAAGAATACTCGGGTATGAGCGGCCAATCACCACTTACTGTAAAACTTCAGCGAATTTCATATTGAAGCGCAATTTAAAAATATTATCTGATAAATGCTTCAAAGAAAACTAAGATAAAAGAAACGGAATCTTATGGCTGGCATTGAGAAAAGGAAGATTGTCATAAAAGGTCACAAAGGTTAAGGAGTTCCAAGTTTTTAATTCGTTGTTTGTCATCACCACCTCAAAAGGTTATCAGAAATTGAATCCTGTCTCGACCCCAGCCCCCTTTTTATGCCGATACAGAACTCAAAGAATCCACTTAAATTCTTACGTTTAGTTCAGTTGTCTGCTGACCGAGATTTATATACGCGTGGGTGGGGAAGCCTCTCTTCCTTTTCCTTCCTCTTGGGTGTCGAAAAGTTTTTTTTTCTTTTCTTTTCTTTCGCCGCTTTGTTAAGTAACGCCTTAGTGGAAAGTGTGAGACAGAAAATTATAATTAGGCGTACCTTAAAATGGCGGCACGTCATCTAATGTTATGCTGTTTCGCCCATTTCCTTTTTGCACTTGGTTCTCGATCACTCCAGCCCGAGATCTGATCTCATTCGGATGGCTCTCTTGTGTGCTTGCTTCCGTGTACAGCGTCATATGTTCAACGCCGTTTTCGAAGCAGAAACTTCCGTTTTTGGCAACACGGACCATGCGCGTATTTACTCAAAATAACGTTTATAGGGATAAAAAATAATAGAGAATAAAAAAAATTAATTAAAAAATTACTGATCTTTACACGTCGGATACGAAACTTTCGGTTAGTTAGCAGAATTCACAACGAGGGAGATGTGCATCCCATAAATAGGCTATTCAAACCTTGCTCTATCTAAATGGCCTCACCTGGTCAAACTGATAGTGACACGTTTCGACTACAGAAGCGGTTTCCTTGATAGGAAAGATATATTATTTCTAAAGAAGTTAGAGATTTTATTTATTAACCGCCGAACAATAACCATGGCTATACAGTATCCAGCGCAAATTTTTCTATTTTTGTCTATATTTCAGAAATAAAGACAGATACTGAGATGAAAGATGAGGACAATATTATGTACACTATTTACATTATTCGACTATTGTTCTCATCTTTGTCGAAAGGCCAAAGTTATTAAAAAGATTTCGCCCGTTGTACGCTCCGGCCTTCTCAGGTGGTTGAAAGGCAATATAATAATATGGCGAAAAGATAGGATAGTGTAATGTCGAACTGAACCGAAACTTTATTTAATGTAAATAGTGTACGCTCACTAGACAGATACTGGGTAGAAACTGTTCTAGGATGGATGTCAGGAATAATTAAATAGTTATTTCATCTCAGAAATAAAGATAGATACTGAAAAGGCCGAAACGTTTCCCTGAATAATGTAAATAGTCCACTCATCTCAGAAATATAACCGGGTTGTGAAAAGATGAGGACAATAGTCACTCTTCTCAGAAATAAAGACAGGTCCTGTCGAAAAGATGAGGACAATAGTCGGAATGTTGCCAAATACGCATCTCAGAAATAAAGACAGATCCACTTGTAAATATGTGTTCCTAAAGACAGATACTGAAAACGTTGTAATAAATATGGCGAAAAAGATGAGGACAATAAAATAAAAATATGGCGAAAATAAATATGATGAGGACAATAGTCCGAATAATGTAAATAGTGTACATAATACCTCATCTCAGAAATATAGACAGATACTGAAAGGCCAAAACGTTGTAATAAATATGGCGAAAAGATGATGAATAATGGACAATAAATAGTCGGAATAAACGTTCGGAATAATAAATATGAAAGCCGAAACGTTGTAAAGTGTACAATAATAATGTAAATAGTGTACCTCATCTCAGAAATAAAGACAGATACTGAAAGGCCGAAACGTTGTAATAAATATGGCGAAAAGATGAGATGTCGGAATAATGGACAATAATAACTCATCTCAATAATGTAAATAAATATGTGTACATAAAATAGTGTACACCTCATCTCAGAAATAAGAGACAGATACGTTGTAATAAATATGGCGAAAAGATGAGGACAATAGTCGTTGTAAATAGTGTACATAATACCTCATCTCAGAAATAAAGACAGATACTGAAAGGCCGAAACGTTGTAATAAATATGGCGAAAAAGATGAGGACAATAGTCGGAATAATGTAAATAGTGTACATAATACCTCATCTCAGAAATAAAGACAGATACTGAAAGGCAAACGTTACTATGGCGAAAAGATGAACAATAGTCGGAATAATGTAAATAGTGTACAACCTCATCTCAGAAATAAAGACAGATACTGAAAGGCCGAAACGTTGTAATAAATATGGCGAAAAAAGATGAGGACAATAGTCGGAATAATGTAAATAGTGTACATAATACCTCATCTCAGAAATATAGACTAAAGGCCGAAACGTTGTAATAAATATGGCGAAAAAGATGAGGACAATAGTCAATAATGTAAAATAGTGTACATAATACCTCATCTCAGAAATATAGACAGATACTGAAAGGCCAAACGTTGTAATAAATATGGCGAAAAGACAATAGATAATGTAAATAGTGTACATAATACCTCATCTCAGAAATATAGATAGATACTGAAAGGCCGAAACGTTGAAATAAATATGGCGAAAAGATGAGGACAATAGTCCGAATAATGTAAATAGTGTACATAATACCTCATCTCAGAAATAAAGACCAGATACTGAAAGGAAACGTTGTAAATAAAAAAGATATAAAAGATGAACAATAGGCGGAATAATGTGTACATAATACCTCATCTCAGAAATAAAGACAGATACTCCGAAACGTTGTAATAAATATGGCGAAAAAGATGAGTCAATAGTCGGAATAATGTAAATAGTGTACATAATACCTCATCTCAGAAATAAAGACAGATACTGAAAGGCCGAAACGTTGTAATAAATATGGCGAAAAGATGAGGACAATAGTCGGAATAATGTAAATAGTGTACATAATACAGAAATAAAGACAGATACTGAAAGGCCGAAACGTTGTTTAAATATGGCGAAAAGATATATATATATATATATAAATATATAGATACTGAAAGGCCGAAACGTTGTAATAAATATGGCGAAAAAGATGGATAGTCGGAATAATTTTTCTTTATCTCAGAAATAAAGACAGATACTGAAAGGCCGAAACGTTGTAATTATGGCAAAAAGATTAGTCGGAATAATGTAAATAGTGTATTTCCGATTACTAAAAAGATGATAGTCGGAATAATATGTACATAATACCTCATCTCAGAAATAAAGACAGATACTGAAAGGTCCTTGTAATAAATATGGCGAAAAAGATGAGGACAAACAATATTTGTCCTAATATTCTCAGAAATATAGACTTTTGTTTCAAAAGATGAGGACAATATTAATGTTTACATAATCTCATCTAAAATAAAGACAGATACTGAAAGGCCGAAACGTTGTAATAAATATCTATCTATCTATCTATCTACTAAAGGCCGAAACGTTGTAATAAATATGGCGAAAAATATGAGGACAATAGTCGGAATAATGTAAATAGTGTACAAATAACTCATCTCAGAAATATGAAATACTGAAAGAAACGTTGTAAAAATATGAAAAGAAACAAAGAATAATGAATAGAATAAAGAAATATAGAAAAAGGCCATTGAAATATGGCGAAAAGATGAGGACAAAATGTAAATAGTGTACAACAAAAAATAAAGACCTCCGTGAATAAATGGCGAAAAGATGAGGACAATAGGAATAATGTAAATAGTGTACATAATACCTCATCTCAGAAATAAAGACACCCCTTGTAATCCCAAATTTAATAATGATACCGAAACCCAATAGTCACTCCATTACATCCCAATTTTCATAAATGCCAAGAAAATTTGTACATTCTCCTTTAATAAATAAATAGTTATGAGGACAATAGTTAATAGTATTAATTTGTAACATATATAAAACGGTAAGTAGAAATGAAAATAGCAAATGTTGATAGATAAAAAGATATGATAGATAGAATAGATAGATAGACAGATAGATATGAACAGAATATGATATATATATATATAAATGAACAGAATATGATATATATATATAAATGAACATAATATATATATATATATATATATAGATAGATAGATAGATAGATAGATAGATAGATATGAATAGATAGATATATAAGATAAGAATGAATATATAGATGTAAACTGAAATATGGCGAAAAGATGAGGACACAGTCATAATATATATAAATATAATAATATAATACGTATAGATTCAAACAGAGATAGATGGGAACAAACTGAGATACAATCACACACACACACACACACATACACATATATATATATATATAGAGAGAGAGAGAGAGAGAATAGAAGCAATTCAAATTTGACAAAGACGAAGAAGGAAAATTGGTTCAAAGAATCGAAAAATACTCTGATATGATTATAGAACCCAGGAAAAGGATGTTTCGATAATTTTGCCTCTTAATTCGTCTAAACTGTCCGCAAAAGATGTCATGCCAATACATATATATATATATATATATATATATATATATATATATATATATACTGAGTATTACTAGGTTGTTTTAATTTGGAGCACTTACTCCCGAAACATTGCATGAACAGAATCGGAAATGCCAACAAATGAGATATATGACATGTTCTTTTTTCTTTCTGGGACAAATGTCGTATGGCAAGTGTAAAATTAACGAGAAACATGTTTGCTATATTCCCGTGCGAAACGTAAACCTTCGTTGGAGCGAACAAAAAAAAAGCTTATCAAACGAGAAAAGGAATAAATTGTATAAATCTGGCTTCCAGCATCGATATTTTAAAAACCATTGACACTTTCAAAGCAAAAAAAACAAAAAAACCTCTACACAGGGCCAGTGTGAGTGTATCTGGAACCCCCGCTTCCCGAATTTACGATACGTGACCCCCACTCCACTGCATTCGAACTTTCATAAGGTAGCGAATATTTTTCCTTCTTTAATAATCAGTTGTACTTAATTTGTAACGTCTATAGCAAATATTGATAAGATAGCTAGGGTCACAAAGCAGAGCCCAGTGTCTCTAAATCAGGTTTTCACTCCCTTGTCGCGGGTTTCGGAAATAATACGTGTCTGCCATGCCTCCAGACAAATTTCAAACTTTATTTTTCGCCTGACCGAAGCCTGGCATTTGAATTTATTGCGTGGTAATCTCGTACAATCACCGAAGTTAAGCAATGTCGAACCTGTGGTTTCTGAGGAGAGTACCTTAAAGTGGAATAAGGCGACAAATTTCCTAGGTAGGCCTTTTCTTATCAATAAATAGACAGATGATTTCTAAAGAGAATTTAGTTGGATTGGCCGTCATACATAAAATACAGAAGGGCTGAAAAATGTACCGGCTGAAATGTTAGGCTAAAAGACTACAAAGATGGAACACTAGTGTGAAAATTTTAGGTAATCATACAAATACTTCATACCAAGGCTTCCGACACATATAAGAAGGCTAAAGAATATATCGGATGAAACATTGTACTAAACGCAATAAAGATTAAAACAACAGACCCCCAAAATTATTAAATAATGAAAACGGTTCATATCGGGAATGCAGACAAATGTGAATTGTCATCACCTGCATCATGATGTGTTTGTAGGTTCGCTGAGTAGCTGATCTTTGCCATTGGTGATGTTGACTTCCTTTCATTGTATTTATTATTTAATATTGATTAATATTAAATCTTAATATTCTTATATTTTTATAGCTTGGGAAAGGAGTTTATCTTTTAGGAAAGGAGATATTTGAAAAAATCCGGAGAGCAGGTTTACATTTTGGCAAGATTTGATAACGGGATTCGCAAGAATTTTTCGTCTAAGTTATTTTCTTTTTTAATAATTGTGGCATTCCTTACATCGAAGTTGTGTTTTAATTTATTTCTATGCAGAATGAAGTCAAAGATTAAAATGCATATAACATTTCGCGCACCCTTGTGAACCGGGTGGGAAATTATGAATTCGAAGATTCACCAAACTAAATATTAATAAAGAGATGAGAAAAGAAAATATATAGCAAGATGAAGACGGGTAAATTTTCGAGCTAAATTAATTAAATTAATTAAGCTTCTAATCTCTAATTTTTCTTTGAAATTCTCAAACCAATTTAAACAGTGGCCTACTACAAACCTGTTGTGACTAAGTAAATGGTTAAAGAAATAACAAAACAAGTTTTACAGATATATCATATATTAAACAGTAAGTACAACAGAAGAGTATTACACGACTAGTGAGTGTGTGTCGGTTAACCAGAGTTCAATATATTCGACTGTTATATTTACAAGCCTCTCCACAAGGTAGGATGTGTCACAAGGCCGAGTTTAATGTGGAGTAATCCGAGCCCGTAGGCTCGACCAGAAATTCCCCATAGACGCCGTATAAAACGAGGTCGGGTAGCTGTTTCCCGAGACGAGACTCCGCCCTTCGAAATAGCCTCGTCTGGGGATCCTCTCTGCCCGGAGATCGAGAGTTTGACCAGCGCAGTGCGAACAGAGCTGTTCGATATTCCCCAAGGCCTAATCGTCTACAAATCTCATAGTAGGCGGAAGAGTCCAACATAGACTCTTTAGAGGAAGGACACCACAACAAAACCCAAACCGAAACCTGCAGGAAAACGAAAAGATTTCAAATAAGCCTCCAGTTCTGACCTGCAGTTGCATTATGAGTCAACCTAAAGTATAGAACGTCATGAACGTTGCTTACCTTCGATATGTTATGAAGCATCTTCCTTAGCATCTCAAGAACTTCTTTGATCATAACGACAACGACCAAATAACATTGCCCTCATGTCATAAAGATGTTTGTTTTTTTTTGTTTTGTTTTTTGGCATCCTATCAAAATCATTGAAAACATTGAGCCAAACGGTCAATGTTTACGAAAAAGGAATTTAAATATTTGATCGATTGATATTTGGTCGTTCTTTGACAATATTCGAATTGGTCTCAAGGTTTTTGCTGAAAATTTTCATAACTCTAAAGAGGTAATTCGAAAAAGAAAAGAAAAGAAATGTAAATATTTAGAGACGTCTTTCCTAAATTTAATAACGTCGGTCCCGACAGCAAAGGCGTATATTTACTGTTATACCAAAACTGCAACCCTAAAAGGCTGATGGGAAGTAACTGCAGAAGGATTTATAAACATACACCAAGAGGAAAAGGACTGGAATTTCACACAGGAAATTATCAGATGTTACAAACATTTGCACACATTATACACACACACACACACACATATATATATATATATATATATATATATATATATATATATATATATATATATATATATATAAACCTAATGAGACAGGCAAACCTTCCTAGGTTTCATCTAAACGGATCGTCAGGGCAATGCCGGCCAAAAGGGAAAATAATGGAAGAGAATATATAGCTTAAACAAAAAAAAACAAAAAAAAAAAAAAAAAACGTAATAAAAAATCAAACAACAGGGGATTAGGGTTACGTTCTTTCAACAACAAAAAGAAAAACTACTCTAATACCCAGCGTTTCCTATGTCTACAGCTACTAAGAATTTATATATATATATATATATATATATATATATAAAGAAAGAACAGTAAGATATATAATCCGGTGTTCTTATAGATATTTTTATTTTTAAAAAATAGTGCTCAATGTAAATTTACAGAGCATTAATATTATAAATTAATTGATTTAAAATATGTTTTTTTTCGCTACACAGTTCTAACCATGTTTCAAAAATGGAAGCTAAAAGCTCCGAATTTAATTTTGTAATTAATTAGTTCCATTTCATCCTCAAGCGAATTTTGGAGTAACTTTTTACTTGTTACTTGACATTAAAATACGTTTGATTTAGTCAAAGAGTTAGGGTTAACATTTCAGACAACTTAATGACATTAACTTTAATAATTAAATAACTTTTTGTTTTTTAATCTTTTCACCCCCAAGCAAAGCGAGAATGTCACCAATACGCAGGGCGTTAATTGATGGGGGAGTAAAAGAGAAGATTGAGAATAGGAAGGATTGAGGAAAGGACAAAAGATAGAAGATAACGATTGATGTTGCGTTTAAACTTTTAAAGATTGTAATTATCAAGGAAGCAAGTAAACGGAAGGGAGCTCCACAGGTGGGAAGTGCGAGAAAAGAAACTGTTAGAGAACTAGCGTCTGCATTTGACTATTTCAAGAGTAAAAACATTTTACAAAATTAAACTTTATCATCAATAAATAACAATACCATCGAGAAAAAGTATTAAAACAACATCATGAAACAATAGCATTTTTCAATAAATTTAGGCGTAAAAAATGTAAATACGAAGGACATCAAATGAATAAATTTTATATTTATTTTAAATAAACCCCTTCCCCAGCGTCGACGTGTGTGCAAGTTTTTTTATCGAAAGTGTCTTTTCAGACACGGGCGAATAAACATGTCCAAAAAAATAACGATGAAAAACCAGCTACAGACGTGTTTATACGTCGATCTTGATCTCTTTTTATGCCATTCTGGGCTTAAAACGAGTCTAATTGTCAACTTATACATCTGTTAGGGGTATTAGTCACAGCTCGGGGTACTTCAAGGTACTTCCGTTTCTTAGTTACTATATTAAAAAAAATATTTCAATACCAAGGCTTCCGACACATATAAGAAGGCTAAAGAATATATCGGTTGAAACATTGTACATAAGACAATAAAGATTAAGACAACAAACCCCCAAAATTAATGAATAATGAAAACGGTTCATATCAGGAATGCAGACAAAGGTGAATTGTCATCACCTTCATCATGATGTGTTTATAGGTTCGCTGAGTAGCTGATCTTTGTGATTCGTCCGAAAATGAAACATTTTTCCCAAAATAATTGGAGGGAATGGTTAAATAAGCTAAAATTATTCCAAATATAAAAAATTCTTAAGCCGACTACGGTAGCAAACTACACATACTCAAGTCAAATCTAAAAATCGTCTTTTCCAGTGGAACGAGGAAATTTGCTATAGTCTTCCATTTCTAGCCCTTAGGTACAATATGAATTAGCCTGAATAAAGAACGCCCTGGCAACGTTACACTGCTGTCCTTATAATCCAAGAGATCGTCGAACTACTAAGAAGAATTGTACATGTCATTTCTTGAACGAAAACAAAGAAATTGGTTAATTAATAAAAGAAACGATCGATTCCCAA